CAGCCACCAGAGGTGCGCAGTGCTCAGCCCTAATGTGTGGAAGATCAGCCACCAGGGGTGCACAGTGCTCAGCCCTAATGTGTGGAAGATCAGCCACCAGGGGTGCACAGTGCTCAGGCCTGTGTAGAAGATCAGCCACCAGGGTGCACAGTGCTCAGCCCTAATGTGTGGAAGATCAGCCACCAGGGGTGCACAGTGCTCAGGCCTGTGTAGAAGATCAGCCACCAGGGTGCACAGTGCTCAGCCCTAATTTGGGGAAGATAAGAACAGTCGAATTAATTGGAATTCCTTGAATGGGAATCTAGAGTCCAACGACTTCATAAAGGTGGTTCAGGATTGTTTTTTAAAGTTGTTTGTATCAGAACCAACACGGAGAAATAACCTGCTTGACTTGGTTCTGGCAAACAAGGAAACCCTTGTTAAGAATTTAGAAATTGCAGATTAACTTGATGCAAGCGAACACAAATCAGTTACCTTTGTCATAGACTGGAAGTGTGATAGTAGCAATAATTTAATAAGGTTTCAAAATTTAGCTTAGCAGATTACCATGGGCTTAGAGAACACTTATCTGTGGACTGGACTTAACAAAAAAGAATAATTATTATAAAGGTTTCTAAATACTATACATACTGTCCCAACAACGTTTATTCCTTATATAGAAATAAGATCGAATAGAAATGACTGAAATGGATGAATAATAGCCTCAAATATCTTAGGGCAGAAGAAAAGGATTTATAGGTGTATCAGAGGAGGTGAGGGTCATCATATGAATCACATTAACATAGAGGTTAAAAGAGGGGATAAGAAAAACAAAACGGGACTATGAAATTAAGGTTTCTAGGGATACAAAAATTAATCTGGTATATAGAACAAAGGTTAGAGGTACATTAGGTCCACTTAAAACTATCTCCGGACAGCTTACTGATAAATAGAATGAAATGTGTTCGATTTTTAATTTCCATTCTGACTCACGAAATCGTAATGACACGATTGCAAACAAACCATACCACTAGGGATTAGAACCCGTTATCAGAGTCTCAAAACTCCAGACCGTCGCGTTAGCCACTGGGCCAGCGAGCTTCAATAAGACTCGTCCAACTGGGTATATTTATACACAATAAGAAAGCTAGCATATGCACCACTGTGACAACAAATGCAAGTTTTTACAGAGGAATCTTATTGAAGCTCGCTGGCCCAGTGGCTCACGCGACGGTCTGGAGTTTTGAGACACACTGATCGCGGGTTCAAACCCCACCCGTGGTATGGTTTGTTTAAAATCGTGTCATTACGATAACCTGAGTCAGTTATTTCCACTGTTTTCATGCATCACTCCACAGGTTCTTTGAGCTGGACCAGAGAAGCTGTGTGTACCACTAACAACAATTTTTAACACATCTATTGAAACTGCAAAGTCAAGGAGAAGATTATCAGGAGGAGAGTGGTGCAGCAACTAGAAAGGAACAGGCAGATAAAATTCAATTAGCAAGGATTCAGGGAAGGGAAATCCTGTGTGACAGACCTACTCGAGTTTTATGACAAGGTAACAGAGGTAAGATACGAAAAAGTGGTGGGTAGAGTGCATTTTCTTGGACTGCAAGAAGTCCTTCGACACTGTTCCTCGAAAGAGGTTAGTGCAAAAGCTATAGGATCAGGCATTTATAACAGGAAAGGCACTGCAATGGATCACAGAATATCTGAATGGGAAGCAAAAACAAGTCATGGCACGTGACGAGGTGTCAGATTGGGCGCTTTTGACAAGCGGGTTTCCAATGGTGTCAGTCCTATGACCGGTGCTGTTTTTAGCATATGTGAATGATATGACGGAAAGGACAGACTCAGAAGTGTCCCTGTTTGCAGATGATGCGAAGTTAATGAGGAAAATTAAATCAGATTAGGATCAGGCAGGACTACAAATTGACTTGCACACGCTGCAAGCCTGGTCCAGCAGCTGCCTCCTCGAATTTAACCCCGCTAAATGCAGTCATGAAGATTGGGGAAGGCCAAAGAAGACCGCAGACAGCGTATAGGCTAGGTGGCCAAAAGCTGCAAACCTAACTCAAGAAAAAGGATCTTGAGGTGAGTATAATGCCGAGCACATATCCTGAGGGGCACATCAACCATATAACTCTTGCAGTATACGGGCTCCTGGCAAACCTAAGAATAGTGTTCCGATTCCTCAGTAAGTAGCCGTTCAAGACTGTACACCAAGTACGTCAGGCTGATATTGGAGTATGCAGCACCACTTTGGAACCCACACCTGGTCAAGTACTACAAAAACTAGATAAAGTGCAAAGGCTTAAAACAAGACAAGTCCCAGATCTAAGGGGAATGTCCTACGAGGAAAGGTTAAGGGAAATCGGCCTGGCGACACTGGAAGACAGGAGGGTCAGAAGAGACATGATAATGACATACAAAATACTTCAAATTGACAAGATGGACAGAGGCAGGATGTTCCAAAGATGGGTCACAAACAAGTGGTCACAATTGGAAGCTGATAACTCAGATGAGTCAGAGAGATGTTGGGAAGATTTTCTTCAGTCATAGAGTTGTCAGGAAGTGGAATACTCTGGAAAGCGATGTAGTGGAGGCAGGAACCATACATAGTTTTAAGACAGCTTGATAAAGCTCATGGAGCGGTGAGAGAAAGAACGTAGTAGCGATCAGTGAAGATGCAGGGCCAGGAGCTATGACTCGACACCTGCAACCACAATTAGGTGAGTACACACACACTAACACACACACACTTATGCAGGGCATTGTAGAAAGTGTGTAAAACAACGCCCTTTAACAATGTCAGTGATGGGATTTGTTCTGCAACTGGACGCTTATTATTCCTGGTGAGTCACAGCTGCCAGGACAGGACAGGAGAGGGGAGGTGTGTAGTCAGTACTGGAAGAGCGGCGGCTGAAGCAAAACGTCATAAGACGTCATGGCTTGGATATTTTGTGTAAGTTTTTGCCATAGGTTGTTTTAATAATTTTTGTATATACTCTGATAGTTGGTTGAAGGCCCTAGTGTGTGCAGGTGGCTGTGAAGTAGAGTACAGATAATAATATTTGGCCTGCAGGCTAAGAGGCAGGTAGAAGGAGGGTGTCAGAGCCACACTGTTTATATATGTGTTAACTCGTAACACTGTGCTAGTGAGTTGTGTAATATGCAGAGAGAAGGTTGTGTGTTGTATAATTAAGGTTACTTACTATTAATATATTATATATTTTTTGTATATGTTAGTTTTTTGTGCTTCCTGCTAGTTAATATAAATATTGACCATTTACTTATTTGATCATGTGGTTTAAGCTTGGAATACACAGTAGAGTTACAAGTGTAGGGAGACGCAGGAAGGGCCGGGCGAATGAAGCCAAACTACAAGAAAGGGGACTACACGGGAATGAGGAACTTCCTGAACGGGGATCAGTGGGACAGAAAACTGGCAGGGAAGTCAGTAAACGAGATGATGGAATATGTAACAACAATATGCAAGAAAGCTGAGGAGAGATTTGTACCCAAGGGTAACAGGAATAATGAAAAAGCCAGGATGAGCTCGTGGTTCACCCAAAAGGTGCAGGGAGGCAAAAACCAAGTGTGCTAGGGAATGGAAGAAGTATAGAAGGCAAAGGACCCAGGAGAATAAGGAGAGCAGTCGTAGAGCTAGAAATGAATATGCACAGATAAGAAGGAAGGACCAACGACAATATGAAAGCGACATAGCAGCGAAAGCCAAATCTGACCCGAAGCTGTTATACAGCCACATCAGGAGGAAAACAACAGTCAGGGACCAGGTAATCAGGCTAAGGAAGGAAGGAGGAGAGGTCACAAGAAACGACCGTGAAGTATGTGAGGAACTCAACATGAGATTCAAAGAAGTGTTCACAGAGGAGACAGAAGAAACTCCAGGAAGGCGGAGAGGTGGGGTACACCGTCAAGTGTTGGACACAATACACACAAACGAGGAAGAAGTGAAAAGGCTGCTGAGTGAGCTAGATACCTTGAAGGCGATGGGGCCGAATAACATCTCTCCATGAGTCCTGAGACAGGGTGCAGAGGCGCTATGTGTACCCTTAACAACAATATTCAACACATCTATCGAAACAGGGAGATTACCTGAGGTATGAGGAACAGCAAATGTAGTCCCAATTTTTAAAAAAGGAGACAGACATGAAGCACTAAACTACAGACCAGTGTCAGTGACATGTATAGTATGCAAAGTCAAGGAGAAGATTATCAGGAGAAGAGTGGTGGAACACCTAGAAAGGAATGATCTCATCAACAACAGCCAACACGGTTTCAGGGACGGGAAATCCTGTGTCACAAACCTACTGGAATTCTATGACATGGTGACAGCAGTAAGACAAGAGAGAGAGAAGGGTGGGTAGATGTTCATGTCACAGTGGGTTAAAAATCTACTCAGGCTTCTAACTGCATTCCTATAACATTGTTTCATTATTTACTTCTCTCCTAATATTATTCCTAATGTTAGACACAGATTCTCTAAAGTTATATTACACTTTCTCCTTCTTGGTTAACGTATCAAGTTTATCATGAAGGAGTAATCCAATGTGTGATGGAATCCATAACAATTTTATATTAATTCCTTTTTCCCGGATTTCTCAGCATGTATGTCTGGCTTCTGTACTGAGCATGTTGTCAGAGTCATTATGTGAGTCAAGAGCCTTCATTGATGACATAGAATCAATAATAATCATTAAGTCAAGATCACTGTCATAAGTTAGCTTTAGCATCATTAGGATGGCAAACAATTCAGTTTGCAGTGTAGACGCCAAGTTGTTAATTGGGTCGTTAGGCATACTTCACAGATATTCTTATTTTATAATGAATAATCAATGAAATACTTAGGTACAAATATTTTACTGTGCCTCAGTAAAATATTCATTACTATATATTAAACTTTGTATTGGAATATACATGTCATGAGAGTCTGCCACACAGCAGAACATACAACATAGATCCTTGACCACTCTGTGCTGGAATTTGCTACTTACCGTTCTGTTGCCAATTTTGTTGACCCTGCAGTTGAGTTTGGCTGGTTGATTGACCAGCGCGGTGACGTTGCCAGAGCGCTCGATGTCAAAGAAGGGTCCAGGTGGCAGGACGTCAACAAAGGGTGGCAAGGAGTTGTGCTGGTGACCGCCAGACTCCTCATCCAGGATAGTGCACCACGCTGCCAGAGGTACACCAGTTCGTTACTACGGTATGAGAAATAATGTCATACACAACTGTCATTAGAAAGGTAAGCAGTAAGACTTGTAGTAAACCCCCAGTTTAAACACAGGAAACGACTATCAAATCTCTCTTCACTCCAGCTTTGTCACCATATTTGATATAGCTTCCATTAATAAAAGCTTGCTCAGTTTATGTGTCTATAATTTCTAACTGCTTGAGGTCCCAGGAGCCAGGACCCAGGACCTAGGACCAAGGACCCAGGACCCAGGACCCAGGACCCAGGACCCAGGAAACAGGACCCAGGACCCAGGACCCAGGACCCAGGACCCAGGACCCAGGACCCAGGACCCAGGACCTAGGACCCAGGACCCAGGGTTGAGTCTTGTAAACTGGGACCCAGGGAAGAAACTTATCAGAGACCCCTGGGTGAAGAATATCACCAGGTAGGGATCCTTGGGACCCCTGGGAGTAACATATCACCTGGAAGTAAGATATCACCTGGGACCCCTGGGAGTAAGATATCACTTGGAAATAAGATATCACCTGGATACCTGGGAGTACGATATCACCTGGGAGAAAAGATATCACCTGGACACCTGGGAGTAAGTTATCACCTGGGACCCCTGGGAGTAAGATATCACCTGGACACCTGGGAGTAAGATATCACCTGGGAGTAAGATATCACATGGACACCTGGGAGTAAGATATCACCTGGACACCTGGGAGTAAGATATCACTTGGAAGTAAGATATCACCTGGATACCTGGGAGTAAGATATCACCTGGATACCTGGGAGTAAGATATCACCTGGGAGTAAGATATCACATGGACACCTGGGAGTAAGATACCACCTGGTCACCTGGGAGCAAGATGTCACCTGGCCACCTGGGAGTAATATATCACCTAGACACATGGGCGTAAGATATCACCTGGTCACCTGGGAGTAACATATCACCTAGACACCTCGGAGTAACATATCACCTGAACACCTGGGAGCAAGACATCACCTGGGTACCTGGGAGTAACATATCACCTAGACAACTGGGAGCAACATATCACCTAGGCACCTGTGAGCAACATATCACCTAGACACCCGGAAGTAAGATATCATCTGGTCACCTGGGAGCAACATATCACCTAGACACCTGGGAGCAACATATCACCTAGACACCTGGGAGTAACATCTCACCTGGACACCCGGAAGTAAGATATCATCTGGTCACCTGGGAGTAAGATATCACCTGGACACCTGAGAGCAACGTATCACCTAGACACCTGGGAGCAACATATCACCTAGACACCTGGGAGCAACATATCACCTAGACACCCGGAAGTAAGATATCATCTGGTCACCTGGGAGCAACATATCACCTGGTCACCTGGGAGCAAGATATCACCTGAACACCTGGGAGCAAGACATCACCTGGATACCTGGGAGTAAGATATCGCCTGGACACCTGGGAGTAACATATCACCTAGACACCTGGAAGTAAGATATCACCTGGTTATCTGGGAGCAACGTATCACCTAGACACCTGGGAGCAACATATCACCTAGACATCTGGGAGCAACATATCACCTAGACACCTGGGAGCAACATATCACCTAGACACCAGGGAGCAACATCTCACCTGGACACCCGGAAGTAAGATATCATCTGGTCACCTGGGAGTAAGATATCACCTGGACACCTGGGAGCAACATATCAAATAGACACCTGGGAGCAACATATCACCTAGACACCCGGAAGTAAGATATCATCTGGTCACCTGGGAGCAACATATCACCTGGTCACCTGGGAGCAAGATATCACCTGAACACCTGGGAGCAAGACATCACCTGGATACCTGGGAGTAAGATATCACCTGGACACCTGGGAGTAACATATCACCTAGACACCTGGAAGTAAGATATCAACTGGTCATTTGGGAGCAACGTATCACCTAGACACCAGGGAGCAACATATCAAATAGACACCTGTGAGCAACATATCACCTAGACACCCGAAAGTAAGATATCATCTGGTCACCTGGGAGCAACATATCACCTGAACACCTGGGAGCAAGACATCACCTGGATACCTGGGAGTAAGATATCACCTAGACACCTGGGAGCAACATATCACCTAGACACCTAGGAGCAACATATCACCTAGACACCTGGGAGCAACATATCACCTAGACACCTTAGAGCAGCATATCACCTAGACACCTGGGAGCAACATATCACCTAGACACCTTGGAGCAACATATCACCTAGACACCTGGGAGCACCATATCACCTAGACACCTGGGAGCAACATACTACCTAGACACCTGGGAGCAACATATCACCTAGTCACCTGGGAGCAACATATCACCTAGACACCCGGAAGTAAGATATCATCTGGTCACCTGGGAGCAACATATCACCTGGTCACTTGGGAGCAAGATATCACCTGAACACCTGGGAGCAAGACATCACCTGGATACCTGGGAGTAAGATATCACCTGGACACCTGGGAGTAACATATCACCTAGACACCTGGAAGTAAGATATCAACTGATCACCTGGGAGCAACGTATCACCTAGACACCAGGGAGCAACATATCAAATAGACACCTGGGAGCAACATATCACCTAGACACCCGGAAGTAAGATATCATCTGGTCACCTGGGAGCAACATATCACCTGGTCACCTGGGAGCAAGATATCACCTGAACACCTGGGAGCAAGACATCACCTGGATACCTGGGAGTAAGATATCGCCTGGACACCTGGGAGTAACATATCACCTAGACACCTGGAAGTAAGATATCACCTGGTTATCTGGGAGCAACGTATCACCTAGACACCTGGGAGCAACATATCACCTAGACATCTGGGAGCAACATATCACCTAGACACCTGGGAGCAACATATCACCTAGACACCAGGGAGCAACATCTCACCTGGACACCCGGAAGTAAGATATCATCTGGTCACCTGGGAGTAAGATATCACCTGGACACCTGGGAGCAACATATCAAATAGACACCTGGGAGCAACATATCACCTAGACACCCGGAAGTAAGATATCATCTGGTCACCTGGGAGCAACATATCACCTGGTCACCTGGGAGCAAGATATCACCTGAACACCTGGGAGCAAGACATCACCTGGATACCTGGGAGTAAGATATCACCTGGACACCTGGGAGTAACATATCACCTAGACACCTGGAAGTAAGATATCAACTGATCACCTGGGAGCAACGTATCACCTAGACACCAGGGAGCAACATATCAAATAGACACCTGGGAGCAACATATCACCTAGACACCCGGAAGTAAGATATCATCTGGTCACCTGGGAGCAACATATCACCTGAACACCTGGGAGCAAGACATCACCTGGATACCTGGGAGTAAGATATCACCTAGACACCTGGGAGCAACATATCACCTAGACACCTAGGAGCAACATATCACCTAGACACCTGGGAGCAACATATCACCTAGACACCTTGGAGCAACATATCACCTAGACACCTGGGAGCAACATATCACCTAGACCCCTGGGAGCAACATATTACCTAGACACCTGGGAGCAACATATCACCTAGACACCTGGGAGCAACATATCACCTAGACACCTGGGAGCAACATATCACCTAGACACCTGGGAGCAACATATCACCTAGACACCTGGGAGCAACATATCACCTAGACACCCGGAAGTAAGAAATCATCTGGTCACCTGGGAGCAACATATCACCTGGACACCTGGGAGCAAGATATCACCTGGACACCTGGTAAGAGTAATTATGCAGGAGCACTGGGATAAAGCTGGGACTCGTGGGCAGAAAAGTTCAGAAAAGGTGAGTCGTGATCGAGGCGACGGTGGAAGTTACTATCGTCTTTCTCTAACTTTTGGCAATAACTGGAAGACTCGGGGATATATCTCTCGTGTGATGAGAACAGTTTTATTTTTCACGATTTGTATATACTTTTTTCTAACATTCCGGCCGCCTCTTGCCGAGATAGGTTGATCAGCAAAGGAGACAAAACTTTCACTGTCACTTATTAAATCACTGTCTTGCCACAAGGGCGTCGGTATCACAGTTCAGATGTTTGGAAAAACCGCAACATCGCCACAACTCCTCAGACTGCAGGAACTGTTCTTTCTACCTCCCAGACGGAGATTGGTTTCTCTGAAATCCTTTATAAATGATGCTTAGGTCACACCTCCAACAGCACGTCAAATCATAAAAGCCACTTGCCTCTATTCACTCCTAACATCCTCACACAAACTTGTTGGATAACTAAACCACTACACTTAAAAACCTCATTCATCCTTTTTCTCCAATATTTCTTAAAATTATCCTAACCCCTTATTCCTTCAACCTCTGAATTATACGTTCTTTCACTAATCCAATGTTCCTTCATTCTCTCTATTATATGTAAACACCATCTCAACTTCTCTTCAGCCATTTAAATAATACTTTTTGTAATTCCACATCTCCGAATTCCCTGCATGATATTCACACTGTGCATCTCCCTCAAACACCTCTCTTCTGCCTCCAGCACAGTTCTCAATGCAACATTCTAAACCAATGAATCAAACTCGTTTAACATTATTGGTACATTCTACTTTGGTATATTCCTCTCTTTGCCTATATGGATAAATCTCTTACTCCATGGATAAAGGTTTCCACAGATACCTCAATGTACCTTTTTACTCTTAAACAGCAGGTTGGTAGACAGATACCACACATGGAGGTACTACTGTCCTACCAGACGAATGTGTAAAGCAAAACATTTTTTTAAACAATAGTTATAATGCTGGTGTCTTTTCTATGTGTCAAACACGTAAGTTGACAGGTACATTATCCTACCTCTTCTTACGTCTACTTCTTAATACTTCGAATTCTTATAAAGCTTTATTCATCTCTATGGGGAACAAGGTGAGAATTATTCCTTTCTAACTCATATATATCGTAAAAAACGACTAAAATGTGGGTATAAGTGCTGTATAAATAATTTAAAATACGAAGGAAAAATCTAGAAGGCATTAAACATTGTCAGCCATGACTGTTAAACATTATAAAGAGTGGACGTAAATATCTTCGATGTCATGGCATATTAGCCTGGTCACAAGTACCTTACTTATGGTTGCTACCATCTTACTCCTACTCACTACCACCTACATACCAGATCACCGTCATCACATGTACAAATGTCAACCACCGTCACATGAACACACGCCAACTGCCATCATAGGTGCGCATGTCCACTGAAAGTACGTATGTCTGCTGGCTGCCATCACATGTACACTGGAGTGCATGCATTTATCACTACCACAAGTGTTAGTAATAGTTGTGTCTACACTTGTGTATTGCGAGTATATCCTCAAGCTTAACCAATATTTAGAAACAACTAGAAATAGAACCAGAGCAGAATCACATGTAAAAAAAAATATTGACGGAGTGGGTGGCGCTCAAAGTCATGGCAATCAAGCACTATGTACGACAGACAAGCGAACTATTGATCTGCTCTTGCCATGAGTTCGAATCTCACCCGTTCTGTGATTTATTTGCAATAATAATAATAATAATGTGTATGCACCTGGAGAAGAGAGGAATGTAGAGGAGAAAGAGAGAGAGATTTTGGGAGATGTTAAGTGAATGTATAGGAACCTTTGAACCAAGTGAGAGAGTAATTGTGGTAGGGGACCTGAATGCTAAAGTAGGAGAAACTTTTAGAGAGGGTGTGGTAGGTAAGTTTGGGGTGCCAGGTGTAAATGATAATGGGAGCCCTTTGATTGAACTTTGTATAGAAAGGGGTTTAGTTATAGGTAATACTTATTTTAAGAAAAAGAGGATAAATAAGTATACAAGATATGATGTAGGGCGAAATGACAGTAGTTTTTGGATTATGTATTGGTAGATAAAAGACTGTTGAGTAGACTTCAGGATGTACATGTTTATAGATTTTTATTATTATTATAATCAAGGGGGAAGCGCTAAACCCGGAGGTTTATACAGCGCCGGGGGGGGAATGTGAAGGCATTCAGGCTTAAATTTTCGGGGAACTGGAGCACAGACCCAAATTTTCCCTAAAATCAAGAGCCCCTCACCAACATTTTTATAGAGAGGCCACAGATATATCAGATCACTTTCTAGTTGTAGCTAAAACTGAGAGAAAAAGGTAGATGGGATACAAGGAGAATAGAAGCATCAGGGAAGAGAGAGGTGAAGGTTTTAAAACTAAAAGAAGGAGGCAGTTAGGGTAAGATATAAACAGCTATTGGAGGATAGATGGGCTAATGAGAGCATAGGCACTGGGGTCGAAGAGGTATGGGGTATTTTTAAAAATGGAGTGTTAGAGTGTTCAGCAGAAGTTTGTGGTTACAGGAAAGTGGGTCAGGAGAAGAGGAGCGATTGGTGGAATAAATGATGTAAAGAGAGTAGTAAGGGAGAAAAAGTTAGCATATGAGAAGTTTTACAAAGTAGAAGTGATGCAAGGAGGGAAGAGTATAAGAGAAAAGAGAGAGGTTAAAGAGTGGTTGAAGCAATGTAAAAAGAGAGCAAATGAGAGAGTGGGTGAGATGTTATCAACAAATTTTGTTGAAAATAAAAAAAAGTTTTTGGGAGTGAGATTAACAAATTAAGGAAGCCTAGAGAACAAATGGATTTGTCTTTTAAAAATAGGAAGGAATTTTATTAAATGGAAGTTAGAGGTATTGGGAATGGATGGGAGTATTTTTGAGGAATTGTTAAAATGTTGATGAAGAGAGGGAAGCTGTGATTTCGTGTATAGGGGAAGGAGGGAAAAACATCTTGTAGGAGTGAGGAAGAGCCAGTTGTGAGTGTGGGGGGGAAATTTTGTGAGGCAGTAGGTAAAAATTAAAAAGGGGGAAGGCAGCCGGGATTGAATGGGATAAAGATAGAAATGTTAAAAGCAGGTGGGGATATAGTTTTTTGGGGTTGTTGGTGCAATTAATTTTAAAAAATTATGGAAGAGGGTAAAGTACCTAGGGATTGGCAGAGAGCATGCATAGTTTTCCTTTGTAAAAGGCAAAGGGGACAAAAGAGAGTGCAAAAAAATTTTAGGGGGAAAGTCTGTTGAGTATACCTGGTAAAGTGTATGGTAGAGTTTTTTTATTTAAAGAATTAAGAGTAAGACGGAAAATAGGATAGCAGATGAACAAGGAGGCTTTAGGAAAGGTAGGGGTGTGAGGACCAGTGTTTACAGTGAGACATATAAGTGAACAGTATTTAGATAAGCTAAAGAGGTCTTTGTGGCATTTATGGATTTGGAAAAGGCGTATGACAGGGTGGATAGGAGGGAAAAAGGGGGCAGATGTTGCAGGTGTATGGTGTAGGAGGTAGGTTACTGAAAGCAGTGAAGAGTTTTTATGAGGATAGTGAGGCTCAAGTTAGAGTAAAGTAGGAAAAAGGGAAATTATTTCCCAGTAAAAGTAGGGCCTTAGACAAGGGATGTTGATGTCACCGTGATTGTTTAATATATTTATAGATGGGTTGTAAGGAAGTAAATGCGAGGGTCTTGGCAAGAGGCGTGGAATTAAAAGATAAATAATCACACATAAAGTGGAGTTGTCACAGTTGCTCTTTGCTGATGACACTGTGCTCTTGGGATATTCTGAAGAGAAATTGCTTGAGATTGGTTGAAGAATTTTGGGAGGGTGTACAAAAGAAGAAAATTTAAAAATGAATACAGGGAAAAAGGGAAGGTTTTGAAAGGGTAACAAAAAGATTAGGTGATGAAAGATTGGGTATCAGATTGGAGGGAGAGAGTATGGAGGAGGTGAATGTATTCAGAATTTGGGAGTGGACGTGTCAGCGGACGGGTCTATGAAAGATGAGGTGAATCATAGAAATGATGAGGGGAAAAGGTGATGTGGTGCACTTAGGAGTCTGTGGAGACAAAGAACTTTGTCCTTGGAGGCAAAGAGGGGAATGTATGAGAGTATAGTTTTACCAACGCTCTTAATGGGTGTGAAGCATGGGTGATGAATGTTTGCAGCGAGGAGAAGGCTGGAGGCATGGAGATGTCATGTCCCGAGGGGAAGTGTGGTGTGAATAGAATGCAGAGAATTCGTAGTTTGGAGGTTAGGAGGAGGTGCGGGGTTACCAAAACTGTTGTCCAGAGGGCTGAGGAAGGGTTGTTTAGGTGGTTCGGACATGTAGAGAGAATGGAGCGAAAAAGAGTGACTTCAAAAGTGTATCAGTCTGTAGTGGAAGGAAGGCGGGGTAGGGGTCGGCCTAGGAAAGGTTGGAGGGAGGGGGTAAAGGAGGTTTTGTGTGCGAGGAGCTTGGACTTCCAGCAGGCATGCGTGAGCGTGTTTGATAGGAGTGAAAAGGAGACAAATGGTTTTAATACTTGGACGTGCTGTTGGAGTGTGAGCAAAGTAACATTATGAAGGGGTTTTAGGGGAAACCGGCAGGCCGGACTTGAGTCTGGAGATGGGAAGTACAGTGTCTGCACTCTGAAGGAGGGGTGTTAATGTTCAGTTTAAAAAAATGTATGTAAAGCACCCTTCTGGCAAGACAGTGATGGAGTGAATGATTTAAAAGTTTTTCTTTTTCGGGCCCCCCTCCCGGGGTGGGAACCCGGGGGGGTTTGTAAATAATAAAAAAAATTTTAATAAAAATTTAATAATAATAATAATAATAAAAATTTAAAAATTTAAAAAAATAAAAATAATTAATAATAAATAAAATAATAATCTATTTCACAAATACATGTATAAGGTAAAAAACGGGCCCTCGTTAACGCCCAATAAAATTTAAAAAGGCTTTTTTAAAACAAAAAGAAAAATAAGAACATAAAAAAGGAAGGAACACTGCAACGGGCCTACTGACCCATGGGGAGCAGGTTATTCCCCCCGGGTTTTAGACCAATAAACCACCCAGTCGATCATCTCCACTAAAGGGATGGAGCCCCCGCACCAGCCCCAGCAGACAAGTAGTCGGGGCCCCAACTCACACCCCCCCCACCCCCCAACTCTTGTACTTATCAAAACCTTTTTTTTAAAAGTAAACAACGTTTTCCCCTCAGCAACTGCCCTCGGGAGTTTTTTTTCCACTAATCCCCCAACTCTTTTACCAAACCAGTTTTTTCCTATACCCTTCCTGAATTTTAAATTTTTTTCCAACTTGAAACTTTGCGCGGTCCTGTTTTGGGCTGGAAATTTTCGCACGTTTATTTACCCCTTTATTTATTTTTTTTTCCCATTTATACCCTCAAACATTATTATTTTTATTTTTTTTTTTTTTATCAACCGGCCAAATTCCCCCCAAAGGGCAGGGGGCCCGAAAAAAAAAAAATTTTCCACATCATTCACCCCCTTTCACTGTCTTGCCAGAAGGGTGCTTTACACTAGATTTTTAAACTGCAAATTAAAACCCCTTTCCTTCAGATTTGGGCACTGAAACTTCCCTCTCCAGGACTCAATCCGGCCGGGCCGGTTTTCCCTAAATCCCTTCATAAATTTTAAATTTGCTCACCTCCAACAGAAAGTCAAGTTTTAAAAAAACCATTTTTTCCCCTTTTCATTTAAAACACGCTAAAGCATGCCTGCGGAAAGGGCCCAACCCCTCGCAAAAAAACCCCTTCCTTTCCCCTCACCCAAAAACCCCTTTCCCTAGGCCGCCCCAAACCCCGTTTTTCCCTTCCACAACAGATGTTTACACTCTTAAATTCATTCTTTTTCCCCCATTCTCTCTACATGTCCGAACCACCCAACAACCCTTCCTCAGCCCTCGGGGAAACATTTTTGGTAATCCCGCACCTCCCCCCTAATTTCCCAAACAAACGTTTCTCTGCATTATATTCACACCACCCATTCCCCTCAGACATGACACCCTCCCACTGCCTCCGCCTTCTCCTCGCGAAAATTTCTTTCACCCCGCTTCAACCCATATAAGAGCTTTGGGTAAAACTTAACTCTCATACTTTTCCCCTCTTTGCCTAAAAGGAAAAAAGTTTTTTTGTCTCCCCCAGATTTTCCTAAGTGCCCCAAATAACTCTTTTTCCCCTCTCAATTCTATGTTTCCCAACCTCATCTTTCATGACCCACCCCGCGGGACACGTCCACCCCCAAAAATATCGAATACGTTAAACCCTCCTCCATACTCTCCCCCTCCAATCTGATTTTTC